CCAGACAGAAGAGTTGCGTAGACCGGAAGGTTCGTGATGTTTCCTATATGGTTGGAGAGCGGGTTATGCTTCGGGTTTCGCCTATGAAGGGCGTTATGAGATTGGGAAGAAAGGGAAGTGGAGTCCGAGGTTTATTGGCCCTTGAGGATATTGAGGCGTGTTGGGGAGGTTGCTTATGAGCTCTCCTTACCTCCTAGCTTGGTAGGAGCTCACCCGGTATTTCATGTTACGATGCTCCGGAGGTATCACGGTGATCCATCGCACGTGTTGGATTTAGTTCAGTCAAGCTGGACAAGGATCTATCCAATGTTGAGGAGCCAGTGGCAATATTGGATAGGCAGGTTAGAAAGCTGAGGTCAAAGAACATTGCATCAGTGAAGGTTTAGTGGAGGGGTCAGCCGGTCGAGGAGGCAACCTGGAAGACCGAGCAAGATATGCGCAGCCGTTACCCTCATCTTTTCAGTACTTCATGTATGTCTCTATGCTCGTTCGAGGACGAACGAATGTTTAAGTGTAGGAGGATGTGACGACCCGGCCGGTCGTCTTAAGAATTAACGCCCCGATCCCCTATTAATTGCTTTCCCCGAGTTTATTTCTGCTATTTTGATTTGCCGGGATGTTCAGTTTGGAGTTTCGAAGAGTTTTGGGACACTTAGTCCCATAATGAGAGCTTAAGTGTTGGAAAGTTGACTGTAGTCGGAACAGTGTAAAGACGGCCTCGGAATGTAAATCTGATGGTTCCGTTAGCTCCGTTCGGTGATTTCGGGCTTAGGGGTGTGATCGGATTGTGTTTTGGAGGTCCGTAGCTAATTTAGGCTTGAAATAACGAGAGTCGAACTTTTGAAGTTTCCGGTACGATAGTGAGATTTTGATTTGAGGGTCGGAATGGAAGTCCGAAAGTTGGAGTAGCTCCATACTGTTGAATGTGACGTGCTTGCAAAATTTCAGGTCATTCGGACGAGATTTGATAGACTTTTTGATCGAAAGCATAAATTAAGAGTTCTTGGAGTTCTTAGGCTTGAATCTTATGTTAAATTTGTATTTGATGTTGTTGTGAGCGTTCCGAAGTTTTGAACAAGTTTGAACGATGTCATGGGATGTGTTGGTACAATTGGTTTAAAGTCCCGGGGGCTCGAGTGAGTTCCGGGTAGGTTCCAGGGATGTTTTAGGCCTAAAATCATAGCTGTTGCAGGTCCAGAAGAGTTGCAAGCCTCGGAACCCACTAGTGCGGTCCGCACAAAATGCAGTGCATCCGTGGTGGGTGTTGTGCGGACCGCACAAAATGCAGTGCGGCCGCAGTGAGGAACATTTCACTGGTCCTACTTCGGAAGCTCATATCTTTTGATCTACAAGGAATTTTGAGATGATTCCAAAATGAAAGTTGTAGACCTTCGTGTCTAGTTTCCAGAAAGATAAGGATATCACAATTTGGACATATGTAGCTAAAGCTATGGCCATAATACAAAATCCAGTCACTGCAGTCAAAAACCTGTGCGGCCATAGTTGTTTTTGTGCGGACCGCACTGGTTTTGTGCGAACCGCGGTCGTTTTTGTGTGGTCCGCAGAGGTGGAAATCTGGGGGGGTGCTCTATAAATACGAGGTTTTGGATTTTATTTGATATTTTGACCTAGAGAGCTCGGATTTTGGCGATTTTTCGAAGGTTTTTCAAGAAAATCATCGGGGTAAGTGATTCTAACTCAGATTTGGCTAGAGTACATGAATCTATCATTGAATTCATAATTTAATTCGTAATTTTGGATGGAATTTAGGAAGAAAATTGTGAAATCTTTCAAAAATATAAAATGATGATCTGAATGACCAAATGATATCGAAATTGGATAATTTTGGTATGGTTAGACTCGTGAGGGTATGAGGATTCTGAAAATATAAATTTTATCCGAATCCGAGATGTGGGAACGAGGGGCATTTTGGTTATTTTACCTAATTTCGTGTATTAGCTTAGAATTTAATTGTTGAATCAGTTACTTGAAGTGTTATTTACATTATGCAATTGAATTGAATAGATTTGGGCCATTTGGAGTCGAATACTCGTGGCAAGAACGTGGTTTCGGGTTGATTATTGAGCCGGTTCGAGGTAAGTGGCTTGTCTAACCTTGCGTGGGGGACTATCCCCTTAGGATTGGTATTGTGGTAATTTAAATGCCTTGTACGTGAGGTGACGAGCGCGTACTTGTGCTAGTTGTTGAAAAATCCTATTTTCATTAAAAATAGCCTTAATTGTATTTTTCCTTTCTTGTTTACACTACTTGGAATTTAAGCATGTTGTTAGTCTAGAGAAGCATGTCTAATTGACTTAATTGATTTACTTGCTCAAAATGCCTTATTTGGATTATGTGCAACATGCTAGGCTAGAAATACCTGCTTTACCTTGATATGGAATTTGAATTAAATTGTGTATTCTTCGTGTTGTTGATGTTTGTTTATTTAGGACTAAGGATGTGGTATTCTGGGAGATCCCCCTTGTTTGTTTATTTGGGACTACGGATGTGGTATTCCGGGAGATCCCCCTGCACATTTATATTTCGGACTACGGATGTGGTATTCCGGGTAATCCCCCTGCACATTTATATTTGGGACTACGGATGTGGTATTCCGGGAGATCCCCGTGCACATTTATATTTGCGTACTACGAATGTGGTATTCTGGGAGATCCCCTGCTATATTATATTGGGACTTACGGATGTGGTATTCCGGGAGACTCCCCGTACACTTTAGTACTTTGGGACTACGGGTAATGTCACCCGGGAGTATTCCCCTGTACTGTAGTATTTACATTTCGGGGCTTACAGGTACGGGTATCCGTGGTA